ACTGATTGAGTTTGGGAGGACCACAGTCACTTCGGGTTGACGTGTAGCTCCGCCCTACCAGAGGATATCGATGTAGAGCATCAATTGTTTATAGTTACAACTTACAAGTATTGGGGAGATTTGAGAACATTGCACCCAAAGTCGTAGTAATGTCTTTTCACATATTTTGGTAGATCCCATAAATGTTTGGTTCATCTTTCATAATGTAGGTTCGTACGTACGCATTCAAAACACACATGCGGTTCATTTAGCCATGCTGCATGCACATATGATAATGCATCCTTCACTCAAGGAGGCCCGGGCCTATAATATTGTGTTCTTCTTGTTATAATTCCTATATAAATCTTTTTCATTTGTAAAATCTTCTTCAATTCTTTATAATTTGATGAATTTTACCTTCATATTTGACATATAAAACACATTTTATAGCTTTAATTGCCATGAGAATACTAAATCAGAAATGAGGATCTTTCCTTCATCTCATTTTTTCTATGTAAGATTGAACGATAAATCAAAAGTAATAGTGCAGTAATATGATCATGTGGTATAGCTTGTGTTATAATATGCTTTCCATGCAAGATTGAACGATAAATTAGAAATAATAGTACAATAATATGATCACTACAAGAAAAAACCCTTTTGCCGACCACAATCTTTGGTCGCTAAAAGGTTAACTTTCGTCGCCAAAACAATTTGGCGACGACATTATTTCGTCGCTATGTTGGTCGCCTAAGGCTCTTCGCTGAAAGTATCAGGCGATGAAACTTTGTTTTCGTCGCCAAAATCTTTACGCGACCAATTTATTTCGTCGCCTAACAGTACTTAGTTGGTCGCCTATAAAGAAGGGTTCCCACGAAAAGGCCAAAATTTGCCGCGAATTGAGGAAGGATTGGGCGACCAATTAAATTGGTTCGTAGCCAACAAAATATGGCGACGACATTATTTCGTCGCTATATGGGTCGCCTAAGGTTCTTGGCTGAATGTATTAGGCGATGAAACTTTGTTTTCGTCGCCAAATTATTTACGCGACCAATTTATTTCGTCGCCTAACAGTACTTAGTTGGTCGCCTATAAAGAAGGGTTCCCGCGAAAATGCCAAAATTTTCCGCGAACTGAGGAAGGATTGGGCGACCAATTAAATTGGTTCGTCGCTTATAGGTGTTGGTGACTACTGGATTTGGTCGCTAAAGCTTACTTAGTTGGTCGCTAAAATGTTTATTTTAAGTGTGTTTAATTATTATATTTGTCTTTGTTTTGTGATAATATTAACCTTTTGTTCATTAACATATTGTAATTTCCAAAAACAATAAATTTAGGTAAATAGATGAATAGAAAATGACACGAATAAAAGTTTCTCCCATTCAAAAGTACACAAGCATACTAGTCATTCAAGTACACATAACATATCCAAAAATATACATAAACAAGTGAAGAACACTCCATTGAAAGGCTGGAGGCCAAGCTCCATATATCTTGTCCTTGGTAAACCCAAGTTACATTATTTCTCCACTCTAAGACTAGAGACCAACACTACAACAAAAAAGCGCTTTTGCGAGGAAAAGTAGACACGAAAGCCAATATACTCATCGATGGGCCGTCACCTCATGAATGCTGGTGAATGTAGCTGAAAGCCACTGATTGAAGCTCATCAGCATCCTGAAAACCCCATTGCCTGTTCTCATTAGGGTTTGCTACAGCAGAGCCATTGACAAAGCTTTGAGCTGCTTGATCCTTGAGGAAAGCTAACTTTGCTTGTAAGTTGACCACCTGAAAAGTTCAAACCAAAAGCATATACTCATCGGTTACTTCAACATACATTCTGAACAGAAACCCAATCTGAACATACAAAGGGTACTAAATGATTAACCTGCTGTTGGAGAGCAAAAATATGTGAAACACAGCCATATATGGGATCTTGAAGCCTGGCTTGAGCTTCCCATGATATCGTCACTGCAGCCTCGCATCGATCGCTCAACGAAAGGTGAGCTAAATGCTTCGACACATTGCTTGCGCCAAAAACCTTGTGGATGGCAGAAAAATGGGTAGCTCCCTTTTCATGGCAGAAATAAGGCGCAAGAATACACCCTCTCACACATTTTCTTCTCAAGAACTTGCAGGCTCCACAGGGAGAATCAGAACCAGCCATGGTTTTGATGATCTTTTTTAATTGGGAGGGTTTTGACGATCTTTTTCTCAAGTACCTATTCTTGATTTCAGCAGCCATTGCCATGAAAGCTTGCTCAACATTAGTAGCATTTTTTGCACTAGTCTCCATGAAAGGGATCCCAATCTCATCCGCAAACGCCTTTTAACAAACCAATGACGAAAGGGAAGAGTCATTATCTAAATATTGAATACTTCAATAGACCAAAAAATATGGTAGCAGGAACTAAGGGAAGGTTTTTTTCACCTTAGCTGTTTCATAAGACACAACTTTGTTAGCAGTGAGGTCAGCCTTGTTACCAACAAGAAGCTTGTTTACATTCTCACTAGCATAACGATCAATTTCATTAAACCACTGCTTAACATTGTTGAAGCTCTCTTGGTCTGTCACATCATAAACTATCTGCCACATGCACCAACATTAATAAATAGAATCCACATTACAAGACTTCAAGGAAAAACTATGACCACAATAATGAAACAAAAAGGAAACACTTACCATAATTCCATGTGCCCCACGGTAGTAGCTACTAGTAATTGTCCTAATGCAATCAGCTTTCTTCATAAGCAAGGTCAATCAACAGTTCAGATACGTAAGCAATAGGTATTCCTCAACTATTGAATGGCTTTAATGCCCACGCACTACCATGTGAGAGAGAGAGAGAGAGAGAGAGAGAGAGACTCACAATTTGAAGTTGAATGGTCTTCCCATCCTGCTCGACTGTGCGAATTTTCTACAGATAAAGAACAAGAAAAGTAATTAGGAGTCGTATTTTCTATAACACCACTTTGACCCAGAAAATAGAGCTTACAAAATCAACTCCGATTGTGCTAATATAGCTGTCCAGATATGAATCATCCTGTGTCATACAGATATAAAATAGTCAGCCCTGAGGAATTGTACGAGTAATCAATATAAATAATATTTCCATGGGAGACAACATGAACACCTGCCTAGGATGACACATCAGATAATAGGTATTACATGACAAAAACGAATCATGCATATGTTATTTAATTGAATTCGTCGATTTGAAGTAAATCAATACTCAATTTTTTTAATTTTTTAGATAAGGAATCAGCATTTTTGACAATAAAGGATAGAAATTACAAGTTTCTCTTCTAAAAACTTCTGTTTATTTTCACTTGGTTCCTTGAAGCCTTCCTTTCTTATCATTTACATCAATGAATTTCCCATTTTTGAATTACCCATAAACATCGAAGAGCAAAATAACTTCATAATTCCATGTGCCCCACGGTAGTGGCTACTAGTAATTGTCCTAATGCAATCAGCTTTCTTCATAAGCAAGGTCAATCAACCAAATGCAAACACACCGCAAAAAACCTCATGAAATAAGAAATTCTACTAAAGTAGTTGAATGTGTTACATCAGACAGTTGCAAAATAAGGACGTGAAGAAGAAAAAAAAGGGAAAAAAAAAAAAAAACCAAAAACACTTCGGCATCAACAGTTCAGATACGTATGCAATAGGTATTCCTCAACTATTGAATGGCTTTAATGCCCACGCACTACCATGTGAGAGAGAGAGAGAGAGAGAGAGAGAGAGACTCACAATTTGAAGTTGAATGGTCTTCCCATCCTGCTCGACTGTGCGAATTTTCTACAGATAAAGAACAAGAAAAGTAATTAGGAGTCGTATTTTCTATAACACCACTTTGACCCAGAAAATAGAGCTTACAAAATCAACTCCGATTGTGCTAATATAGCTGTCCAGATATGAATCATCCTGTGTCATACAGATATAAAATAGTCAGCCCTGAGGAATTGTACGAGTAATCAATATAAATAATATTTCCATGGGAGACAACATGAACACCTGCCTAGGATGACACATCAGATAATAGGTATTACATGACAAAAACGAATCATGCATATGTTATTTAATTGAATTCGTCGATTTGAAGTAAATCAATACTCAATTTTTTTAATTTTTTTGATAAGGAATCAGCATTTTTGACAATAAAGGATAGAAATTACAAGTTTCTCTTCTAAAAACTTCTGTTTATTTTCACTTGGTTCCTTGAAGCCTTCCTTTCTTATCATTTACATCAATGAATTTCCCATTTTTGAATTACCCATAAACATCGAAGAGCAAAATAACTTCTAGATTCCCCAAATACGAATAAAGGATTAAGTGGTCAAAGTATCAACAACTTACAGCAAACCTTAGAAGAAGACATGATTTCCCAACCCCAGAGTCTCCAATCAGTAAAAGTTTAAACAGGTAATCACTGCAGAAGAACCATAACATAACCCACATGATTTCAAAAAGCTGTGAAACTGAAAACAACAAAATAAATGAATACTTTATATTTGTTAACAAGAGTTATAATCTACACATATCATAAGATTCAAAGACCAAATTTACCCTTTGCCAAGGAGTGTATGTGTCGTTGTTTGCTGTGTCAATGGCATGGGGACTTGCAAATTCGGAGCCATGCCTGAGCTTACGCTGGGAGGATATGAAGTGTAAGGTCCAGTTACATGGTTACCACTGGTGCCTACCACTTGCTCAAACCCAGGATAGGATTGCTGATGCCCAACTGTCTGCATTAGTGAATAGAATAAGGAAAGGATGAGGAGGAGAAGAAGAAAACATTGACATTGTATGTTATTTACAATGTTATAATCCAAAATGTCATAGAATAGATAAATCATACTTACACTTCCTACGTTCAATCTCTTGTTATCCCAGTCATGAACAAGCTCTTCCGATGCTAATCGCTTCGTTCCAAGAGCTTTATAATGGAAATAAATGAGCATTAGTTACAATTTATGATGCCAGTGCTTAATATTGAAACCCAATAACAGTAGCTCAAGTGCTTCTAAAACATAAATCTATGATAACCAATTGCCATACTGATCAAGAAAGAGTGTACCTGGTGGAAAAGCATTGCATTTTTTGCACTGCAGATAAATCACAGGTGGATCAGATATCAACAGTCAGGTAATGAACAAATTTTTATTTGAATGCTCATGTAGATCATACTTGTGTTCGAGACGAATAATTGTGGAAACCGCAATTGCATAACCAGTCACCACTGCGCCATCCTTTTGGAACTGAAAGAAGCTGATTAGTAGGGTTTGAATATAGAAGTCCAGCATTATGGTTCCCACCTACAGACCAAGAAGAAGGTGGCTGAACTCCGTATTTATCAGCCCCGGCCATAGACCAGTTCAGAGGTGGCTGACCTCTCGCGCCCTTGACCTCGATGAAGAAGTGGTGAAGGAGGAATTCGCCAACTCAGTGGTTGAGGGGTTGTCTACGACCTCGTTATTACGACAAAAACAAACCAGAGAGGGAGGATATGGAGATAGGGAGGATATGGAGATAGAGAGCTATCCAAAGAAGAGAAAGAAGAGTGGATCTGATCTGATTTCCGCAGATTTGGGCAGTAGAGAGGAAAGAAGTAAAAAAAAAAGAGATGAAGGAAAGATGAGAGTGGCGGCTGAGTTAAGAAAGTAGGGTTAGGTTTTCCAGAAAAATCAGTAGCTCCCTGTTCATGGCAGAAAAATGCGGCTGAGTTAAGAAAGTAGCCTTATACTGATTGCTTAACCTGTTTTTATTATGTACTCAGTCCCACTACAGGCAATTTCTCATTCATATGATGACTTGCAACTTCCATAAATGACTCAATACCAGCCTTATACTGATTGCTTAACCTGTTTTTATTATGTACTCAGTCCCTGTTCATCTTGCACTATATACACACCAAAAAGTTTCAATTGTAAAATGATATATAACAAATTTTTTAGGACAATGCCTAACTTCAAGCATTTCAATAGTTTCATGGCAGATCACTAATCAAACTATTATACATATACATAGTTGCAAACAATTTCAAGTAGCAAAGATAAAGATCCGCACAGCAAGCTCTATAACTCCAGGAAGGGCAGAGAATACCCAAAACGACCAGGCCGATGGGCAATTCAGTAAAACCAAAAACTAGCCAAAGCCTATATCATCAAGACAATTCAGTAAAACCAAAAACTAGTGACCCAAACTAATATTGTCATCATCATCATCACTATAAAAATCAGGATAAATCCGGCATAGAACACTAACAGCCTAAAGCCAAACGCCAAGGCACCCAAACTACAAATACAACAAAACTTTAAACTCTCACAAGTAAAATACAAGAAGAGACGGTAACAAGCAACACACTCAAACGAGTTGAAGCACAAAATCCAACAAGAAAACAGCAAAGATAAAGATCCGCACAGCAAGCTCTATAACTCCAGGAAGAGTAGAGAATACCCAAAACGACCAGGCCGATGGGCAATTCAGTAAAACCAAAAACTAGCCAAAGCCTATATCATCAAGACAATTCAGTAAAACCAAAAACTAGTGACCCAAACTAATATTGTCATCATCATCATCACTATAGGTTGGATCACCAACATGCTGAGGAGGAACACCCATATCCATATCTGGGGGCAGAGCACCCACATGGGTTCGCATCCATTCAATAACACCCAAAAGTTTACCAACTGTGCCCTGAAGCTCACTCACTGTGCCCTTCAACTCACCAACTGTGCCCTGAAGCTCCTCCACCTTTTGCTCTGTAGCCAAAGAGGAAGTAGCAGTAGTTCGATCACGTGAACTCTCCACTCGCAGATTAGAGCCCAAGCCTCGTATCCTTCTTCCCTTTGCAACCCCAAGTTCTGCAGTCATGATCTCTAATTGCTGTTGTTTAGAGACCGTGATATGATCTAGTTCAGTTCTTGAACTCTCTGCCAATTCTTGCTTGGCCTTCTCATAATCTTCCATCATTTTCTTCTACAAAAAGAAACAAGATAAGAATAAGAGCAATATAAAAGTGTAGAGGAACACTAAAATGCTTTCAGCATCAGCAATTCAACAAAGAAATATCTGCTTTATTTCATGCAAGAATAATATTCAGGAACAACAACAATGCTTCATATTTGATAATTTTTGGTAACTCAATAGTCAATACCAACATTGAACTGTTATTGCTGTAATCCTACAAAGAAGACCTACAAATATTCTAACAAGAACATAATAAACAATTTCACATGCTTGGATAGCTATTCCTTACCCCTTTACTTTCAGCCGCCTCATTGATCCACACGGCCTTATCCTTATACATATGCAAGGTGTTCCAGTTGCTAATGTATGTAGGATTTTCACCCTTCTACATATTCCCAACCAAAAATAAAATGAGAAATACTTGCAGTTATAAATTTAAAAGAAAAAAACAAGATTAAAATGAAAGGAAAATTATAACCTCTACAGCAGCTTCCATGTGTTTTAGGAAGGGACGTGAACCCCCTGTATGATCATATTTTTTCTTTTTCCTGTTCTCAGCATTGACTTTGCATCGTTTCTGTTTTAACAACATACATAAATTGTTCCAAATCAAAAACTTTAAACTGCACAAATATAAGATATCATAAAACTATATAACCTACAATTAATTAAAGATACCTGATATTTCTCATCCGTGTACAACTTATCGACCAAATAATGCCACTCTTCTAGAGTCCTTTGAGAACCAAAGACCTTGCCAGGGGGGGGTGTGGCCCGTGCGACTTCAGGGTCAGAAGCATACTCCTTATAGTGCTTGTGGAGTTTTGCTCTCCAATCATTATAAGTGGAGTTCATATGGTCATCAATAAATTTCCACATAGCTGGATCCGTTAAGTCCACTTCAAACTTGAACTAATATCAATTAACCGTAAAAATAGTAAACATATTAATTCTTCTTATTCTAATCTAACTAGAAACAGAAAAGGAGATCTTAATAATCCAATTTCACTATTGTATACACAACTTAGCAAGAAAGGAAACAAGTACATATATATGTATTGCACCAGCTCTAACAATTCTTTTCATATGTCTATTAACATTAAAGGCTTGGTTTACTTTTTCGTCATAAAGCAAAAAGTAAAAAAAACCAAAATTGAGAGATTATGTTCCAGACCAAATGTACATCAGTAAGAAGATATCTAATTGCTCAAAAAGAAATATTATGTTCCAAACCCAAGTACCTTAACACTTAGGGGGGTGTATTCAATTAGGATTTTAATAGATTTTTTTTAAGCTTAAAAGTCTAGTGATATTCAATTATGATTTTTAAGTAATCAATAAAAATCTGATGGTATTCAATTAGGATTTTAAAATCATTAATGCAAGTCTGGTGGTATTCAATAAGGACTTTCAAAAGATTAGAAAAAGTACGGTGGTATTAAAAAACTTACCGATTTTGAGGTATTTCATTAAATGATGTATTCTGTGAGACTTTTCAGTGGGTGATATAAATACCAAATCCCATAAAAAATCACACCCTATTACATCTGATTCTCACGTTGGTTCTCATCTTTTTTATCTCTTCACATGCTTGTTCTTTTATATGCTATCAGACCATTTTTTTTGTCTCTATTTGTATTATCTGTGTTGCTTTGCTGTGGAACAGACAAAGAAGAAGAAACCAATCTGTAAAGATTGATAGTTGGTGTTTTTGGTTGCGCACTGCCTCGTTCTTTAGGAATGATTTCTCTTATTTTATGAAGTATTATTTATGAAATATTATTTTTCTTATCTGTCATTCTACAGTTTTGATCTAATTTGAATCGTCATTTCTTATCTGTGTTGTAAAAACTGTATGTTTGAAACTGGAGAAATGACACAGTTTCAAAAACAATTATTTGAATCATCAAACAGTTATTGGTGTTTTTACAAACTGTAGAATCGTCATTTCTCATTATTTTATGAAATAATATATTTTTATTACTTTTGTAAAAAAATGGAGAATGACGATTCAAATAACTATTGAGCTTTGTTTTGATCTAAACTAGTCTTTCTTATCTTTCTTTTTATATAATACTAATAAATAGTGGACGGTGGAATGACTAGAAGAAGTCCATCACTAGAAAATTTCCTTGCGTTAAGCCATGTCTAGTCGCTACATGACGTTATTGTTATTACTTTTATCATTTGGTTATTTATCCATGTGGCATGATTAATCCATGTTATTATATAATTTTTATTTCATATGAAATCCTAGAGCAAATCTTTTGATTCTTTGGAGAATACAAAAAAGTCCTAAGTGAATCATAAGAGAATCATGTAATTACAATCTATTAAAATCATAAGTAAAATCTTGTAATTACAAATCTTGCTGAAATCCATTACATTAAAATCATGTGATTACAATCTATTAAAATCCTAATTGAATACACCCCCCTTAATTGCACTTACTACAAAGCAGTATTAAATAACTCACCTGCAATGCAATTGCCATATCCCGCTTCGTCTCCAAAGTCACTTTTTTCCACCCAAGAACATTCAATGGAGCTTTGTTGCGAGTGATTAACCCAATCTCAGACACGAACAAATATTGAGCCTCAACACTCGCTACCAAGTTCTGTGATGGATCCAATCGTATTGGAATCAACTTCTTGGACTTTTTAACAACATCACAAGTGCCAGCCCCCACAGTTATGCCACGAGTTTTCTTCGCATGTGAAGAAGTTCCATCATCTAGAAGACCAAAATAAATAAATAAAATTAAAAAACTGAAGTGCACCGCCAAAGAAGGAAAAAAAATGTAGTTACCAGATTGCCGTGAACCTCCAGCTGAAGCTGACAATGGAAATTGTTGTGCCTGTGGGGTTGAAGTTTTCTTTGCATGTGAAGAAATTCCATCGTCTAAAAGACCAGAACTAAATAAATAAGAAACATAAGTGCACAAAATAAGCCAAACAAAGAAATAATGCAGTTACCTTGTTGTCGTGAACCCCCTGCTGAGGCAAATAATGGAAATCGTTGTGGCAGAGTTGATTCTTGTGATAGCTCACGTGGCTGTGGTGGTTGTTGAGTTGAAGTTTTCTTCACACGTGAAGAAGTTACAGCATCTAGAAGACCAAAAATAAATAAATAAGGAACTGAAGTGTGCAGAAAAAAGCCAAAGAATGAAATAAAATGCAATTACCCTGTTGCCGTGAACCCTCTGTTGAGGCTGAAAATGCAGTTTGCTTCCTCTTATTGTTAGTGTTGCCTAATCCTTTCTTACTCAACATCTGGCACATTTACACACACATAAATAGAGAAACATACTACATTCAAATAACATTCTATTTTTCCTAAAGTCATAAATAAATAAGAAATAAATTGTACCTTATCATTTATAAGTTAAAGCACTACACACTACCTTATCAATCTAAATCACTATAATCATCACTATGAACACTATCTTCCTCATCACTAGAAGGTATTTCTTCAATATCATCATCATCATTAGAACCCTCATCCTCCACATCATTCCGGACTGGTTCAAAATTAACATCATCGACAATTATTTCCGGTTCAGCATCCTCTCTACGAAGTGATGTACTTGGTAAATCATTTTCAGCTGGTGCATCTCTGACAGTATGAAATTCTTGGTCTACACCATCGTCATAAAGTGTTTCTGCCTCGTGTGCCACCTCATTCTCAGGAACATCCCACACATGTCTATGTGGAATCTTTTGAATCACCTTCCAACCTTGACCCAAGTAAGGGTCGTCAAGATAAAAGATTTGTTGTGCTTGTTTTGCTAGCACATAAGGATCTCCTTTGTACCATAAACTCGTTGAGTTCACTGATGTGAGATGATAATCACGAACAAGCCTAACAATCCTTTTCTTTCTCTTCACTTCTGTACTTGTATTGAACCATTCGCACTTGAAAAGGACAACATGATATCCATATGTGAATCCTATTTGAATAACACTGACTAATCTACCATAAAAGTTACTTTCCCGATCACCATGTGTTCCTGGCACCATGATTCCACTATTTTGAGTTGTGCGAGTTTCTTCTATATCTTTAACATGCCACCGTATTCCATTCACAACACAACCAGTATAAGTACCAACCCTATAATCTGGACCATATGATAATGCATACACTTCTTTATTTACCAACGTTGATTCTTGGGTATACAATGATTTGACACGCTTCTTAAACCATTGGGGAAACGATTGCCTAAGTCTTTGTTCTATGTTAAAGGGGCTTTCACTCTCTAATATTTGACGATGCTCACTGCAAAAACAAAACCAAAACAAAGAAAAACATTAAACTTTAAAATCCCAGCAAGACATAAAAAAAAACACAATAAAAGAACTAATATGTTTACTTACTTTCTAAATGATTCAATTTCCTCGCAGTTGTCCAGAATATACCAATAAATTGGTTCCATTTCTCGCTCTGACAATAAAAGCATTTTATAGCCATTAAAGGGTCGTGCATTCTGGATAAAGACTGAAAGCTTTGCATTCGTTTCGCTGGCATCGTCGTTTCGCTCAGGACGAGAGAAAACTGTCTCTACATTACGTAAGTACATTGAACAAAAAGTTAATGCTTCATTAGCAATGTATCCCTCAATAATTGAACCCTCTGGACGAGCTCTATTGCGTACATAGCCCTTTAACTTCCCCAACATCCTGTGAATTATTTCATATTAGTATCTACAAATACATGTCAAAGTGAATCAACTAAAATATACGACTACTTGATGAATAATATTTACCTCTCTATTGGGTACATCCATCGATACCCTACTGGTCCCCCAAGTTTTGCCTCACGCGGTAAATGATAAGCCAAATGAACCATGACATCAAAGAACGCTGGCGGAAAGATTTTCTCAAGCTTGCAGAGAATTAAAACAATGTCAACCTCTAACCTGTCCAGATCTACAACATTCAACGTCTTTGCACAAATTTGTTGGAAAAAACTTGACAATTCTACAAGTGGTGCACATACTTCTTTTCTTAGGTATGGTCGGATTCCAACAGGTAAAATTCGTTGCAATAGAACGTGACAATCATGAGTCTTCAAACCCGAGATCTTCCCATCTTTGACATTTCGTGATATATTGGCTGCATACCCATCTGGAAATTTAATAAATTTCAAGAATTCACAAAACGCTCGACGATCAGCTGGTTCTAATGTATATTCTGCAAGATACTTCTTTATCTTTCCATTTTCATCTTTATCTAAATGCAGATTCGTTCTTATATTCATGTCTTTCAAATCCAAGCGTGCATTGGGTGTGTCTTTTGTTTCTCCTTCTATGTTCAACAATGTCCCAACAATGTTATCGCATATATTCTTCTCAATATGCATTACATCCAAGTTATGTCTGATTTTCAGCTTGGACCAATACTCTAATTCGAAGAAAATGCTCTTATTTGTCCAATTTAACTCCATAGGTGTCCGCTTTCTCTTTCTGTCCAAATTATCAGGGTGTTTACCAACCTTACGCTGCATAAGTTGGTTCAATTGAAGCAAAATGTCTTCACCAGAGAATTCTCTAGGGGGATCCCTCATCTCAATACTTCCATCAAAATTTTGACAATCTTTACGCCATGGGTGATTCTTTTTTAAGTAGCGACGGTGCCCCATATAACAAATTTTATTTCTCAACTTCGTAGACGTTGTATCCTCAAGGCATACCGGACATGCCTTATAACCTTTTGTACTCCAACAAGATAAATTTCCATAAGCAGGAAAGTCGTTGATTGTCCATATTACAGCTGCACGCATGTTAAATATAGTATTAGAAAGCTTATCATAAGTTTGGACACCTTGTTCCCACAACTCCTTTAGCTCATCAATTAACGGACGCAAATACACATCAAGTTCCTTGCCTGGTGCTTTAGGGCCTGGAATAAGCAAACTCAGTATCGAATATTGTTCTTTCATACACATCCAAGGTGGTAGATTGTATGGAACCACCATCACAGGCCACATACTATAAGATGTGCTCATATTCCCGAATGGGTTAAACCCGTCCGTTGCAAGCCCTAACCTAATATTTCGTGGATCTTCAGCAAACTGAGGGTACATCTTGTCAAACTCCTTCCATGCAATGGAATCGGCTGGATGCCTCATAATACCTTCCTCATCAACCTTTTTATCCTTATGCCACCTCATGTGACCAGCTGTATGATTTGACATAAACAATCTTTGTAATCTTGGCTTCAGAGGAATGTAGCGCAACACTTTTTGGGGTACCTTGCTTTTCTTTTTACTAGTACTAGGCTTATACCTCGGCTCATCACACACTGGACATTTATCTTTCCCTTCATGCTCTTTGTAAAACAAAGCACAATCATACACACATGCATCGATTTTTTCATGGCCCAAACCCAAATCTTTCAACATCTTATTAGCAGCATAGAACGATGGAGGAATGTTATGAGGTTTAGGAGAAATATCACTAAGTATTTCTAACATTGTATCAAATGACTTGTTACTCCAATGATTAAGTACCTTTGCATGCATGAATTGTACCATTGCTGTCAAAACTGATGCATTGCAACCCGGAAACAATTCTCGCTCAGCTTCAGCTACCAATTTCTCATACTTATCAGTTTCAACCCAATGCATATTGGTCCTATCATCCCCCACATCTTCAGTGCCTCCCAACATGTCATCTTCCTCTACCAAATCTTCATCTATGTTAATATCTCGAGGGAAAGCATCATTTAAAATATTAAATGTATAATCATCGAGTCGAGGTGCCTCTTGAGTAGTTGTAGGAGGTGAATCTTGTCTTTGTATCCCAAATTGTTCCCCATGATATATCCATGTGTGATAAACCACTGACATGCCATACCTCCATAAGTGTGCTTTGACAATTGGAAGAGAATGACGATTCATATTTTGGCACTTCATGCACGGACATGGAGTCTCATTTTTCTCATTCATATGATGACTTGCAACTTCCATAAATGACTCAATACCAGCCTTATACTGATTGCTTAACCTGTTTTTATTATGTACCCAGTCCCTGTTCATCTTGCACTATATACACACCAAAAAGTTTCAATTGTAAAATGATATATAACAAATTTTTTAGGACAATGCCTAACTTCAAGCATTTCAATAGTTTCATGGCAGATCACTAATCAAACTATTATACATATACATAGTTGCAAACAATTTCAAGTAGATAATGGTAAGAAGATTTTGAAGCAAATATACCTCTTAAGCAAAAAACGAGAATGTTAACAATCCATACCTCTTAAGAAAATGTAGCCTTTTAAGCAAGTATTTCAAACTGAAACCAAAACATAAAACGAACTTTGTTAGACACCATAAAGTTAGAAAAAACAGCAAATTTAGAAACCCAAAAAAAATAATGAAATCGAACAAGTTCATCTTTTTCCAAACACTAACACAAGTACGACCAAAGCCTAAAGCCTAAAGCCAAACGCCTAAAGTCATCGGCCACTCCAGTCCGACATAGAACACTAACAGCCTAAGAAACATAAGTGCACAAAATAAGCCAAACAAAGAAATAATGCAGTTACCTTGTTGTCGTGAACCCCCTGCTGAGGCAAATAATGGAAATCGTTGTGGCAGAGTTGATTCTTGTGATAGCTCACGTGGCTGTGGTGGTTGTTGAGTTGAAGTTTTCTTCACACATGAAGAAGTTACATCATCTAGTAGAAGACAGAAAATAAATAAATAAATAAGGAACTGAAGTGTGCAGAAAAAAGCCAAAGAATGAAATAAAATGCAATTACCCTGTTGCCGTGAATCCTCTGTTGAGGCTGAAAATGCAGTTTGCTTCCTCTTATTGTTAGTGTTGCCTAAACTAACAGCTTTCTTACTCAACATCTGGCACATTTACACGCACATAAATAGAGAAACATACTACATTCAAATAACATTCTATTTTTCCTAAAGTCATAAATAAATAAGAAATAAACTGTACCTTATCATTTGTACCATAAACTCGTTGAGTTCACTGATGTGAGATGATAATCACGAACAAGCCTAACAATCCCTGTTCATCTTGCACTATATACACACCAAAAAGTTTCAATTGTGAAATGATATATAACAAATTTTTTAGGACAATGCCTAACTTCAAGCATTTCAATAGTTTCATGGCAGATTTAGATCAAACTATTATACAAATACATAGTTGCAAACAATTTCAAGTGGATAATGGTAAGAAGATTTTGAAGCAAATATACCTCTTAAGCAAAAAACGAGAATGTTAACTATCCATACCTCTTAAGAAAATGTAGCCTTTTAAGCAAGTATTTCAAACTGAAACCAAAACATAAAACGAACTCTGTTAGACACCATAAAATTAGAAAAAACAGCAAATATAGAGCAGAACAATTAAAATAATTACATACAAAAATTGCTTGTACAAACAATAACAGAACTAATATAACCCGTAATAGAAGCAATGTGAATAACTACAAATTCCTCCCATTTGAACATACCAGTTAACCAAAATGGAAATCTAAGATACCCTATTTAAAAAATCCATCTAAGTTTCCTAATTTCTACCAATAGCATGGCCTTCTGGTACCCAAATCTCTAAGAAGACCCATCAGTTTTTCATAATCTGGATACTTTAAATTAACCAATAAGTTGTTCAAGAACTTACTTAACAAACATATACTCTTCAACAATTGCAGAAACTAGCAAAGAAATCCTCTCATTTCAGTTAAATGAGGAAAAAAAAAGCTTAAAAAAACGAAGTTATGCTTAATATGTTTATTTAATCCTAATATTCTTACATTGATTTTTTTTATTTTAAAAATTGATATTCTTACTTACTTTAAATCTTTTCAATATAAAGTGCTTCAAATCAGTGGCACTTTCCAGTCAAACAAGAAAAACTGAGTACTCATATGTACAGATGGTTTTGTGGGGTTCATGGTAAAGAAACTTTTACATTATGTAGTGAGTTCAGCTAGTTTATATCTCAAATTGAGAAGACTTTAAAATTAAAAAAAGGCTATACAATTATGAATTTAAAGATTTTAAGTCCAAGGAAAACAATAATATCGTTACTTTCTCCCAGATTACTTATATTATCATGTATTGGTTAGACATGAATGAATAAAAATATATAATGTATGCAGAACAAAATTTTAAGAAGACAAGGCCAATTCCCAGATCTTCAAAGAAGAAGCATCTTTTCTGATTCTAGAACAAACATCTCACCATGTCATTTTTTAACAAACAATGAAATTCTCAAAACTAAAAAATACTTTGTGGGTGTGAGAGAGATAATAGAATATGTACGTGAAATTGGTGAAACCCAAAATTAAAAACTAACACATGTAGAGAAATTGGTCTTCATACCTAAAGAGAGGCAGCAGAAATTGGTCTTCAATATGTTGATTCAATGGTTGAAGGGCTGTCGATCACCTTGGTATTAAGACAAAAAGAAACCAGATTTTAGAACTGAGGAGATTCTAGAGATTCTAGGGAATTGGTGGGTCAGAGTGGGATACCCATGCCATGAGAAATCCAGGGGGTAGAGAGGTATGTCACTGGTTCGCCATCTTCAGTGGAGGATTCGTTTATTGACATCGGTGGGAGAGGCAGAGAGGGTATATAGAGTGAACTTGAGAAGTGACGAATTGGGAAGGAGTTTTTTCTTTTCTTATTATTATTATTTTTTTTTAAAGTTATAGTCTCAACAATCAGCCACCAAAAAAATACTCAAATCACTAAAACGACGTAGTTTTTCAATACCTTAAAATCATAGGATCCCTCATCGTGACCAAAATATGTGGGTCGCCAAAGCCCATGAAATTATTAGGCGCGAACTTTACTTTGGAGGCCAACTTAGCGACCAAATATTTCCGTCGCTTTACATTTCACATTCTCGCGCGCGCGGCATTAAGAAAATGGCGACCAACTACGCATTTGGTAGCGACATTTTCACCTAGCCACCAAAACAGTTCGTCGCCCATGAATAATATTTGGTCGCTACTTGGGTGACTGAAATTTTACAATTTGACTCCATCTGACGAAACCTTTGGCGACCAAATTACATTATTTTGTCGCCTATAAGTGTCTTTTGGCGACCAAATCTAGTTTGTCGCCAAACATTTGGTCGCAAAAGGGATTTTTTCTTGTAGTGGATTATGTGGTATAGCTTGTGTTATAATATGGGTGGACAACATATGGTTGATATTCCTCATTTTAGGGAATAATATCAATAAATATTCACTTATATTATAACACGTGGACAAATTACACCACATAGCATACTACAATAATATACTATAATTACTCATTTGGGTTAAGATGTAGGAGCGCAAATTTGAATTTCTTAATAAAAGAAATCAAAAGAACACTTCCCCCCCCCCCAAAAAAGAGGTTCAAATTCTCTATGCCAACAATAGGTCAATAATAATTTCATTTAAATAGCAATGACCATTAATAACTTTTTCTATGGTTAAATGTCCGTACATCCATGCATGATGATGATGCGCAACTCAATTTTGAACCTGATCGCAATCTATTTGTTTAGCCAAAAACCCTGATTACAACTTACTAGTTTTGTTTTTAAAAAACTAATTTTTCTCGTACGGAGAGAACTTAAAAACTGGAAGTGGCATGGATCATAGATGGTGGTGTTGGTTGAGGATCCAGTGGACACCGACATGGCATGGCATTGGCAGCCATTAGATTCCTTCGCTGAGTCAAGTCTTGAAACCTTGAGACACACTCTAAAGTCTGGGACCCTTTCCTTCCCTCATCGCTCGCAACCATCTGTATTTTACCCTTAGAAAAAAAATTAAATAAAAAGAAAATCGAATAATGCTAAAGAGATATCATAATTAGTCGCCTATACTAAAAATCCATAAATCAAAGCTCTTTTTTATTGGATTAGATCTCGTTGACAAACGATGATATATGAACGCTAAAAAAATAATAATGTCAGGGATATCATGTTTTTGTATTGTATAATGTGGTGAGTTTACAATCACTGGAAGTGGCATAGATCATAGATGGTGGTGTTGGTTGAGGATCCAGTGGACACCGACATGGCATGGCATTGGCAGCCATTAGATTCCTTCGCTGAGTCAAGTCTTGAAACCTTGAGACACACTCTAAAGTCTGGGACCCTTTCCTTCCCTCATCGCTCGCAACCATCTGTATTTTACCCTTAGAAAAAAAATTAAATAAAAAGAAAATCGAATAATGCTAAAGAGATATCATAATTAGTCGCCTATACTAAAAATCCATAAATCAAAGCTCTTTTTTATTGGATTAGATCTCGTTGACAAACGATGATATATGAACGCTAAAAAAATAATAATGTCAGGGATATCATGTTTTTGTATTGTATAATGTGGTGAGTTTACAATCACGTTAATCAATGATTTCATTTTCTTGGATGTTGGTTATATGCATTACTTAACACATTATGTGACATCGTAATATGAAATGTAGTTCCCTTAGCATTATTTTTTAAATAAAAAATATAGGCATTTTCACCTTCTTATGTTGTTATTTCTCTTGACCTGCAAATTAAAGTCTACACATGTGGAGTAAATATTGTATAATACTAGAATATAGTCACACGATATAATCAACCCTAAATCCTACGTGATCGTATTTAATTATTATACAATAATTCTTTGCATTCGCGATACATTGCTTTTTTTGGGTAGAATATTGTTATTTGTTTGTAAAAGAGAATGACTCTGTCACATTCGGAACTATACAAGTCTTATTTATTTAGTAACATAAGTTTGAAAAATATTACCCTCCTCTTTGAATTGAATTGAAATTATATTTTGTGTGAATAGTTTCCAAATTGTGAGTATGAATGAATCAAGTGGGCGTGGGACCAAAGAACAGCGCTCAGGCTTTTTCAGCAAACCCAATGGACCCACCGCCCCATACGACTGCACCTCCTCTCCCCGGCAACGCGTGCTTCCGTGTCCACCCACCACCTACTTCTCTCTCTCTCTCTCTCTCTCTCTCTCATATAAATAATAAATAAAATAAAGTAAATAAGACATCAC